AAAAGAAAAATCAGGCTGTTTCAATTCTGAGCCACCTTCAAAAGTGGCTCTCACTGGATCTTTACTCACCAAAGACCATGACCAATTTTGACCACAGTTTCCTTCTCTTCCCTACTCTACTTCTATGGCTAATACAAGAGGACTTGCAAAAAGGTTTAGGACAAATCCCCTTTTTGACTATAGCTTCCACACTCACCTGACCCAGGTCAGGCACTCTGTAGCCAAAGCACGCCCAGCCAAGGATGCGAATCGTGCTCCCTTTCAGTCAGCTCCTAAATATTTACAAAGAAAGAAGACTGAGTAGGGGACCCCGCGAGTGCCCATCAGAAATGTTCCCAAATGCGAGTTTTGACTTTTTTGCCTCCATTTCCTGCAGATCCCACTCCCCACCTCCCAATTTAGCAGCCAAGTTCGCGGGATCTCTTCCCCCACAGATAACAGCAAACCCAACTTAGTTATTTCCCGTACGTAGCTGACCAGAAAGATCAGGCACGCAGGAACTTCGAACACGCCAGAGGTGGAACTAAGGGAAGTGTTGAGAAGATCCTAAAGCACTTGTTTCCCCGCGTGGAGGCCAAGTATGCGAAACCCGCATACTCATTGGACATCAGCTGGGTCCACACTTCTTCCCTCACCACTCCCCCGTTCCCCCAGTTTTCTTCCTTTTTTTTTTTTTTAACCCTCCCCACAGGGGCCCCCACGCATGCATTATTCTACCAGCCATGCGGCGCAACAGGACTAGCTACATATTTAGAAAGATTATTTCCTTGAACAAACTCATATGACACCCCCACAACTGCCCCTCCCCGGGGGGGGGGACTATTTCCTGCAGCCACTCCAACAGTTTCCAACTTGGGGGAATGCCATTTCAGTACGGGGAAGGGGGTTGAAGCCGGTCACTAGAGTGGAGGACATTTGGGATTGCTTAAACCTGAAAAAAAATCAGACCTCCGAAATTGCTCGCAGGGAAAGAAACCCCAAAATACACGCCAAATGCATGCAAAGCCACCAAGAACTCCCAGAGATCAGGGCAAAAACTTCTGTGCACGGGAGCCAGTGCCAACTCCCCGCGCCCTCTGCCCGGCCCCAGCAGCTACCTTGGTGACCGGGGAGCCACGCCGGTTTAGGGGAGCAGGACCAGGAGAGGGGTTAGCAGCCGCTGGGCAATCCCATGTCCGCGAAGAGGGAGCTCGTTCCGTTAGGATGGGAGAGAAACACCCACACCTCCTCTCGGCGTGCGCTTTCTTTCTCTCCACCCCCTGCCTCCTCCTCCACCGCCACCACCACCTCCTCCTCCTCTCCTCCCACCCCAGCAGGCTTGAGGAACCGCTTCAGCAGAACATCCACATGGTTACTGCACTTTGAAGCAGCTCCCGACCGCTTATATAGGCCAGGAAGCTCCCTGGGCAATGTAGTCCCAGTCCCAGGTCGTGCCGGCGCCTGGGGCTGCAGGGAAGGACTACAGGTCCCAGAAGCCCCTAGGCTCCGGGGCTGGGTTCTAAATAGACGCGCGCGGAGACGGGGGAGGGGCATACAGCGGGACCGCCGGGGCTGCGAACCTGTGTCTGAACATCCTACTCGCCAGGTTTGGAAAACCCGACCCACAGTCATCCGTATAAACCATTCTTCTCTGACTGTCGTATCTTGGCTTTCATAAAATCCAGGTGTCACTAGGGGCCGGAGAGAGGGGAAGAGCTCGGATTACTGCTTTGGGAAGTTTTTACACGCTATTAACCCACCCCCGCGCGCACTGTGTCCTGAAGCCAAGAATTTCAGAAATCCGAGGCACAAAAACGCTAGTGTTTGTGGTCAAGGATTAAAGAAGCTAGTTTGTCATTATTAAATCTGTTCTAGTTCTTTATTAAATCCTGCTAGTGTCTGTTTGAAAAACTTAAGTCTGGGAATGGAGTGGTTCTTGCTATTGGGGACGCGGGCTTATCGTGTGAGAGCCTTTTTTGTGAATCCGAGCTATGTCTTGTCTTTCTTCTCATGGTGGGGAGTAAAAGAAACGCAATCCTCTCCGTTGAACAAATAAAGGAACCGTGTTGTGACTTGCCGATGCTGCCATCGTGAAGCAGAAAAGAAATACGAACCGCGACCTCGGCCCTGACCCAGTTTCTAGCAGCCCCTTTGCTCCTGGAACGCTTAAGTAAATAAACCGCAAGCCAGAAAAGTAAGGATTTCAGAGAGAGAGTGCTGTTCACACTGAGATGCTTGCGACCAGTGGAGGCGATCTCCTAGATTTCAACCCCTGCATCTGAGGTGAAGTGAGTTTCAACCCACCACCAAGTAGTGTCTGGGCTCCAGGCTCCAAAGTGCTTAGGGCTTTGGCTTTTGGAAGAAGTGCTTGGATCTCAGGCAAAGTCATCCTACCCACTCCTTCCCTGCCCCCCACCCCAAAACCAGATTTCACGTATTCATTCCACAAATGTTACCCGAGTGTCATCTGGGTGCCAGGCCAGGCACTGTGCCAGGATATGAGAGCGCGCCAAAATATATCATAACATCCTAAACAGGGTCTGTCTGCTCCTGCTGAAGACCTGCTACTAACAGTAATCCTTGTAATGCTAACAAAGATTCTACGGAGTTCAGCCTGCATGCATTTTCTGAGTCATGCTATTGAGTTTTACCAACTCTGTGTTAGTTCTATCCGTGTGGCAGGTGCACAGCTCAAGACCAGGAGAAAGCAGGTTAGCTTCAGTCTCCATTGCAGCCCCAGCCAGTAACCGTACAATGCACTTACTTTTGGGGACCTCAATTACCATTTCCTTATAGGACCCCCCCCCCATTTTAGGAACAGCCTCTGAGCCCCTAGGCAAATAAATCCCTGTCGTTTCTTCACCACAGTTTTGCCTTCCAGAGAGGGATGCCATACTCATTATTATCTGCCTGCTGCTTTTCCCTATTGCTTGATCCAACAGCCTTTGCCTGAAGCCTTGTGAATCTTTATAAGAACAAATAAGAGCAAAATAGCTGTTAACCATGGACATCTCATGGGTGCATGTTGTGTCCCAGCCGTTGTTTCTAAGCTCTTTAAGTGTATCATTTCATCAATTCCTATTAAGGAATCTTTGTTTTTAGCCCATGGGAAGCTAAAGACATGCAGGTTGAGTTACTTCCTAGAAGACACACAATTGGCTGGTCTTGGAAATGTAGTGTCTGATGTTTCATGCTGTTTGTTTTTTTCTTCCTCCTCAGGAAAACCCCCAACTTGCCACAGCAGAAGAATCTACACCTTTTCATATCTGTTGTTTCTCCTTTCCCCCATAAAAACAATTCGTTCCGTTTTCCAAGGACCTTTGATTCCACCTGTCAAACAATTTCAATGAATTAGTCCATGATAATAATATAACTGGTGAAGGAGGAGAAGGGATTACTTCATGAGCTCCTAACTGGGAAACAATGGAGTTGTAATGTGGGTTTCCCAAAGAATACTTGGTCACAGCTGAAAGGAACAGGTGGCTCATTTTCATACTCATCACACAGTAGACACAAGCCTGTACCTGCTTTATCAGGTCTTCCCTCCCCAACCCCACATTTCAGTGAGAGACCATGTCTTACTTATATTTATATAATGTAGTTCTCTAGACTCAAAAGGACTTATTCTTTTGTCTGCACATCTTTGTAGATCTCATAAGCATATTTTCTGAGCATGCAAACGTTTTAGCTGTTCAGATCGGTTTTCTGTTTCAGTGTGTGCACATAGTATTGTACAGCATTTAGCAAGCTCTGGAAGCTGGTATATCACAAGAAAGTGCTTTCGCTAAAAGAGGTTCTTAATGATGTACAGTTGATATGTGGTGATGCTGACTGTGATGGATGCTACAATGACATCTTCTCCTTTATGAACATGGGTCGGGAGGGGAGTTCCTGCTTCTTTGTTATATTTTTTTTCATGGGAAGAATTTTTCTATACCTGTGTCTCCAATCCAGGAGCCACCAGCCATTTAGGCAACTAAAATGCAGATAGTTCCAACAAAGATGTGAAGTAGTTGTAAAATACACAGTGAGATTTGAATACTTAGTTTAAAAAAACAACAAAAACCCCTCAATAATTCATGTTGATTACATGATGAAATTACAATACATTGGATAGATTAGATTTCACAATTGAAATGACTCCCCATCCCCCACCCCCACCCCCGTTTTTACTTTTTAAATTGATTAAAAATTCAGTCTCATGTTATATTCTATTGGACAATGCGAATCCAGAAAACAAATTCCAAAGGTAACTCCAAACAATGAGGACCAGGGCTGGGGAGATAGTTGAGTGGCTAAAACCCTTCATGTAAAAGCATGAAGACCTGAGTTCTGATTCCCCCAAGCCCACATAAAAGCCTGGCAGGTGTGGCAACCTATAACTTCAGCACTCCAGAGGCATGCTAACTGGCTAGACTAACTGGAATTGGTGAGTTCTCAATACAGTGAGAAACCCTGCCTAGTAAATAAGGAGGAACATGATAGAAGATACTCAGTGTCACCTTTGGGCCTTGACATGTATGTACACACATATGTGCCATGAAAAAATGTACCTATACATATGCAAATATATATACATATACACATACTAAATACATGCACATAGCCAATAAAAAGAAATGATAATCCACCATAAAAGTAGCCATGTGTAACTTTACCCTTGAAATGCCCATGCAGGGAAGCCAGAGGACTTTGCAGTCAAGACAGTATTATAGACTGAGTCTGAAGAAAGCCCAAAACTAGCACAGCAGCTTACTCCAGGGAAGTCCTACAAATAGAAACAGTTTTTGTCAGCAGTACACGGCTGCAGACTTGGACTAAATTCTAAATTCATCTGCTGAGAAACCCACCCACAGGTCCCCTCCTACTAAAGAAAGCAGGATGTAACAAGGAAAGCAGGATTCAGAAAAAGCAGGGTTGACATGCAATTGTACTGTTAACATCCAAGTTGTGTGTTTGTGGAGAGAATGATGCGACTGATCCTCGGCTTGACAACCCACTTGGTCATTGAGTTACGGGACATGAAAGTGCTTTCAAACCTCACTTGAGCATTACCAAAAGAAGAACATGATCACCAAGCCAGGAAAATATACTGGTTCATCCTGATACCATGCTTAGCCACAAAATAAGTGTCATCTTGTTGGAATACAGCTATTGCCAATTTTCTTCTAGGCATAAACTTCAATCACCCATGACTATCACAGTGATCATTGAATGTTTTTGTTAATAGCTTCTCCACATTACCCTTCAGTGGTCTGACAGCATAGCTGATACCAACCTATAGAATGTGTTCTATCTTTGAGCTAACTTCTTTTTATCTGGTATGATGGTCTACCATTGGCCATGAGAAATATCAGTAAACAGAAATTGATATTGTCTACATAGTTACCACAACATCTTTCCTAGTTATATGTTAACCCTGTGTGGTAGAAGAATAAACACCTAGTCCTTTTTGATGATTTTATAAAATCCATGACACTTGTCCCTAAATACCACCAGACATTCCAAATGGTAGTATGGTTTGAAAGAAAATGGTCGCCAAAGGGAATGGCACTACTAGGAGGTGTGGCTTTGTTGGAGTGGGGTGTGGCCTTGTTGGAAGAAGAGTGTCGCTGTACAAGAGGGTTTTGAGGTCTCATATATGCTCAAGTCACACCCAGTGTCTCAGTTCACTTCCTGTTGCCTGTAGAACCCTCAGCTACCTCTTCAGAACCATGTCTGCCTACATACCATCATGTCCTACCATGATGATAATTGGACTAAACCTCTGAACCTGAAAGCCACACCTCAATTAAATGTTTTCCTTTTTTAAGAGTTGCTGGGTTCGTGGTCTCTTCACAGCAATAGAAACCCCAACTAAGACAGGCAGCATCAGTCCTTTGAGTTTTTGCTCTGAGTGGTTCAAAACCCACTCCTAGGCATACCCAAAGTCTAAATTATCTTTGAGCTCTCCATGTTGTTTTTATTTTCACAGACAAGATAAGATCTTTGAAGATGAGCATTTGTTTACCTTTTGTACCTCTAACTGGAAGAGGTGTTCAGCACTTATTGGATCATGAGTTCTTGGGACTCCAAGAATGGCCAGAAGAAATGATGACCTACAGACACTCAATAGCCTACATGAGATGTCAAAGTAGGGCTGGTATGCAAACAAAAAAACTGGAAAGAGAATAACTTGTTATGGAGTCCAGACTCAGGGCATCCTGTGTGGCCAAGAGAAAAATACCACAAATGGAGTCTCTATATTTGTTGTCCTATGTCTGGAATTTAAAAAGTTGGCCGGTTAGTCACCTGTTGACTAGAGGGTACTTGGATGAAGTAGCATGACCATACTTAAGAGTTACAAACCCCAGCAAAACAAAACAAGCAAACAAACAGCCCAAAATGAAACAAAACAAAAAACAAAAATCTGGGCTGAGGTAGTGTGAGTTTAAAAAAAAAAAAAAGCAAAAATAGTTACTACTACTTTACTTCACATGGAAATGCAGCTGTGCTGTCTCTGATGGTAGCATTGTCAATATTATCTGGAATCCCACAGACATCCATTTCTTATACATTATTTTCCTGTGAATCACATAGAGTCAGGGGTTTTCCTCAAAGCAGGACATCCAGCCCCACTTCCTGCCCCCATCAATAAGACTGCTACCCTAACTTGCTAGGGTTGACACATTGGACCTGGAACCTTGAGAAATGCCTTGCTACCTTTTTCTATTATTATAGCAGAAATTAAATCCAGGTGTCAGAGGAGCCAAGTGAAGCTATTTTATTGTGGTTGTGTGATGGGATCTCACTCTATAGCCAAACTCTACTGATCTCAAGATCCTTCATCCCCTCCCCAGTGCTGGGATTGCAGGCATATGCCCCTGTGTTTACATGAAGCTCAACTTTACACAAGAATTCAGGAATCCATGTTTTAAAAGATCACACTTTTTAAGAAATCAATTATTTCGCAGCTTCTGTGAGAAATGCCTTATTTAGATTAGAATTTCACAACGTGAATGAAGTTCTGTGGTATCTGAAACTCAATCTCAAATCTTTCACAGATATGTAACCTAAAAATATTACACATTTCTTTATTTATACTTATCTAGCTTATTAACCTATGTGAAGTATTTACAGATAGCTGATTCCCTCTTATGATACATTTGCAGTTATGTAGGAGAAGGTTACATTTCAATAGATTGTTGAAAAAAATATACAATGAGCATACAGACTAGCAATAACCTAGCAATTTCCATGCTAATAATCTCTAGGCTATGAGTAGTTCTATGTATTTCAGTATAGCCTTCTTAAGACTTCTCCAAATCGAGGCCTGCCCTTTTCTGATGAGAAACAGAGGATAGAAAACTTGAATATTTTTGCAGACCTCAGTAAATATAATCACTAACCCAAGTATTCAATTTTGCTTAATTCGGTCACCAATCAAGTGAAACCTGCAACTTTTCTCACTTCCTGTCCTATGTTAGTGTACCCAGACTTAAGATAATCAACTACTTGCTTTCATTTCCCATTTATTACTTTTTAATTTTAAGCACTGCTGCCAGATTTTAAGCACTGCTACCTTCTAATAGTGGGTATAGGCTAAGATGAATCTATGTGTTGAGTTAACCCAGATAAGGCACTTGAGGTCCGTGTTTCACAATAAGGATCAGTTAGGTGGGAACAGTCCAGAGAAGCCAGACTAAGGGTGTGGGGCTTAGTTAATTAGTGCTGGACTAAGCTCATACTAAATATGTAGTTTCCTGTTTTACCAGGTGCTCTGTGGGGCACTGGGGACAATGGAAGACAATAGCTGCTTTGAACTCACAACTTGTCACCAGCTGGGCTTCCCCCCCCCCCATACCCTTCTGGTTTTAATTCCAGGTGTAGACTGCAGAGTATGCAGCTGTGGCCTAGAAAGCAGCCCAGATGCTGGCAAGTCCTCAGTTACTTACCTCCAGGAACCACCCATCACTTCATGCCACAGTGTTTTCTCCATTAACATATTACATAGTACCAAGATGATCCTAAGTCACCAAACCATTTATATTGACTTTAAGACAGCAAGTGAAACAGTGGTTCCGAGTGGTTTTGGTCCATTTTTCCTTCAGAACTAGCCCTTGTTTTTGTTTTGGTGTGTGTGTGTGTGTGTGTGTGTGTGTGTGTGTGTGTGTGTGTGTGTGTGTGTGTACTTGGTGTTACCTCTTAGGAGGAGAAAGAGAAAGGGGAATCAAGGGAGAAGGAGGAGGCAGTTGTGACTAGGAGGGAAGTGAATCTCTTTAAAGATAGCCTAGGCCTTCCTCAATATT